CCGAAAGCTGATCTACATATAACAGAGCTAGTAAGTCTAAGAATCTTTTCAGATATATTAACCACAACATTTGGCGTAGAACGAATCGATGCAACAAGATCATGAACCTCATCTTGTCGAATCAAACTAAACGACTTGACCATCTTTGCACTAAGTAACTCTGAAATGCATATTTTACGCATTTGTTTCCAGTAATCACCGTATTTTGCAAATACAATGTCGTTTTGATTATAAAAGACTATATCAGATGACATAAGCTCTGGCCTTGCTGCAAAACAAAGGTCATGAACTTTTAACACTTGTTTTGCCATATGTGCAGACGATACAACGACTGTATCTATTTCCCCCAACTTCAGGTGCATTATAGGTCCATATTTTTTCGATAAATTTCTAAGAACATGATGTGGAAGTACTCCAATAAGGTGATGCATGCTTCCGATAATAGGCAATTTCCATGGACCTGGTGGCAATTTTTGGTTACTTTTTTTCGATTTTCGAACGAAAATAACTAACAGGAGGAAAAAGGACAGCAACAATGAAACTAAATTGAAATGAATCTCCATGTTTTAACACTGAGGAGGAATGCAAGGAAAAAAATTGTTGGTTAAATAGATAAAAGGGGTTTGGCCTTCACGTGAAATGACCATGTAGTCAAGTCACATGGATAGTGTTCGTCTTCCTTTTTCACGTGAACGGTTATTCTCTTACGTTACTTTTTAAAAATATATATATTTAATTGAATGTAAAAATAAATATAATAGCTAACCATTTTAAAATTAATAAAATTGTAGAAAAATTAAATAATTTGTCTACAACAAAAGGTAATTAAAAACAAAATACTAAATTCTCTAACATATTTACTAAAATTATTTGTTTATAACATTTATTTTATTTAGCAAGGAACTTATCTACTCCAACTGATTAGTTCCGAGTTCGAATCTCGAGCAATTCACTATCATATCAAAATTATAATTCTCCAATTAACTTCATTAAACATTTGAATAGATTTACGTAAACTTTGATTGACACGAGTATAGAAGTCATGTTATACTGTTGGATAACAAGTCATCCCTTTTCTACTTTGATATGTTGAAAACTCGTGTGGTTAGGAGTTTCAGATGATTAAATAAATAAAAATTTTATCATGACTGCAATTTTACAGAGACGTCAAAGCGAAAAACAAGCTATGTGGTTTAATAGATATGCTTTGTTGATTAAATAAGTTAACTGTCATATTACACATATCTTTTTTTAATATATTTAGGCAATTCCAATGAATAAATGAGGAGATCATCAATCTATATACATGAAAGTTATTGTATAATTCCAACCATGATCGATTATGCACTTCGAAAGATTGATATACAACTAAGCGTAGAGTCTGAATAGGAAATTATAAGCATCATTATACTATGGTAATGACATTTTAAATCATGTGAAATCGCAATCAAGTGAAGATCATTCTTCCTAGTCGCAGATATTCCAAGTGTTTCAGTCATATCCAGATCCTCGGGTCGTTGTCCATAAGGAAGTTTCCAATCGAAGTGATAAAGCAATTGTGCTAGCGGATAGACAACGTTAGCTAAACCAAAATGCATTCATGGACACATCCTGCTTCCTGCACCAAACGGAATATATTGAAAATGATTTTCCATTAAAATCCACAGAATTCTTTTTCAAATCTCTCTGGCATAAAAGTTTCAGGGTCGTCCCAACTTTCAGAATCTCTTGCAATAACCCAACCGTTAACATCCACTTGAGAATTAAGAGGAATAGTGTATCCATCAATTTCTGTTGCCTCTCTGCATTGCCTAAGGCCTAAAAGAGGAGATGCAGGGTGCAATCGTAGTGTTTCATTGATCACTAACTTCAAATACTTCAACTCTTCGACATCATTGTCATTCAAATCATTCTTCCCTTTTATCGACGCTTCTCACTTCTGTCTGTGCTTTGGCCATCATATTCGGGTTCTTCATCAGTTCAGATAACGCCCATTGTAATATTACTGATGAAGTTTCAGTTCCCTCGAAAAAAAAGTCCTACAACATTGAAGTTCATCTATTAATACATATGATTTTGACAAATGATGGAACTAACAATAAGTGTAAACATGAAGACGACTCTAAATGAATGATAGTTTTGATGAATATAGAACCAAACTTACTAGAACAATTGCCTTGACGCTGTCATTTGTGATTGGAAATCGAAGTTCACCATTCTTTTCCATAACTCTAAGTAAAACGTCAATCAAATCCTCACCCCCAAACTCACTGTTTCCCTCTTTCCCATTTGCTCGATTCTCTTTATGTTCATGAATTATTTTCTCCAATATTACATCAAACTTCTTATGCATACGCTTCAATCTGCTTCTCATTCCACCAATTTCGTGAAGTAATGTCCAAGAAGGAAAGAAATCAGCCACATCAAATCCGCCTGATAAGGCTAATACCTCCCTCATCAACATCAACAAATTATCTCCATCATCCCATACTTTTCCGAAAGCTAATCTACATATAACAGAGCAAGTAACTCTAAGAACCTTTTCAGACACATTAACCACAACATTTGGCGTAGAACGAATAGATGCAACAAGATCATGAACCTCATCTTGTCGAATTAAACTAAACGACTTGACCATCTTTGCACCAAGTAACTCTGAAATGCATATTTTACGCATCTGTTTCCAGTAATCACCATATTTTGCAAATAAAATGTCTTTTTGACGATAAAAGACTATATCAGATGCTATAAGCTCTGGCCTTGCTGCAAAAGAAAGGTCATGAACTTTTAGTACTTGTTTTGCCATATGAGGAGACGATACGACGACTGCATCAATTTCCCCCAACTTCAGGTGCATTATAGGTCCATATTTTTTCGATAAATTTCTAAGAACATGATGTGGAAGTGCTCCAATAAGGTGATGTATGCTTCCAATAATAGCCAATTTCCATGAACCTGGTGGCAATCTTTGGTTACTTTTTTTCGTTTTTCGAACGAAAATAACTAACAGGAGGAAAAAGGACGGCAACAATGAAACTGAATTGAAATGAATCTCCATGTTTTTACAGTGAGCAGTAAAAAGAAGAAAAAAATAGGTATACTTGGTACTCCATGTTTCATATGTGGTATCTTTCCGTATTAGTTCGTCCAGAAAGAATGTTATCTTATTACAGTTTAAAATAATTTATTTTTTATCTTTAAAGAAATGATTTTAAATCATACAAATATCTAATATAAAAATTATTTTAAATTATAAATTTTTAAAAAAATCTTTTTATATAAATATTGCATCAAATTAAATGATATCACATAATACCCCTGAGTTCAATCATATATGCTTTTAAGTTCATATAAAAAAGTTAGAAAAAATTGATTCATACTTCAAATATATACCCCTGAGTTCAAACAAAGAATGGTTAAACCTTAGACACATGTGCCTCAAGTTGATAAAATGTCTAAAGTTTGCTTGCCTTCGAATTAGGATTGGACATAAAATATCTAAAATCAAATTATTAAATTGAATCAAAATTTTTGATAATTAGATATTTGATATGATATTCATAAGAAAATTTTTAGAATTAAGGTATTTGAATTTAGGTTTAGTATTTAATATTAGTATCATTGATATTCGATTGATATTTTTCGAACTCCAAAGTATTTACTTAATGAAGGTCATGTTTCAACATATCTATTACCCATTAGTACAAGTCCAAAGAAAAAGTTAAATAATAAGCATAAATACAATCCAAATACATACGTTTTTTAGTTGTACCAATTTTATTTTTCTAGATGATTTATTTTACTTGTTAATCATCTATTATCGTATCTCCGCATAAAAAATAGAAATGATCGGAGAGATTATATTAATTTTGTAATGCAATCATCTATAGCTTCAATACAGTATTACCGAATATCGTCTCAAATTGAAGTTAAATTTATCGTTTATCAAATTACCAAATTGAAATTAAAAAATTTAATATTTAATATCTACTTCTAATTATCATTTACTGAATTACAAATTCAAAATTTGAAAAATCCGAATTAGATACTAACACCTACCGCTACTTCAAATTGCCCAAAGTTTAGGTTTTGGAAAGTTAAAATTAATTATTTTTAAAATTAGAAGTATTATAAAACTTTTTTAAAAAAATCATCATTATTAATCTTTAGGGATAAAATACATGAGTATAGAAAATCGAAAATAGTTAAAGTGTAAATTAATAAGAAAATCATTTTTATATATATTATTTTTTATACGAAATATAAAAAAGAAAATGGACAAATAATATGAATTAGGAAGAAAGTGACAAGTTTTTATTCTTTAATTCATATCAAGTAAATTATTCATATATTTTTCATAACTGAAAATAGATAATTATAAAGTTCAAAAAATTATGAAAAAGAAAATTATATTTGCCTTTTATTTAGTAAAATTATCAAGCGCTTACATTTTTTTACAAAAATAATATTAAAAATAATAATCTATAATTTGGATAAGAGATATTTATCATAATGTTGGGATTTGGGACTTTGCCATGACTTTTGTCCTCCACTTTGATGACAACTCTGATCTCTAACCCCTTGTTTGGATGATTTTTCATTTTCATTAGTTTAAGTATAATATTTATTTTAATAGTTATATAATTTTTATTATATCATATTATTTAAATTAATAGTTAATTATTAATGAAAAGATTTATGTTATGTATTAATTAATTTAATGTAATTATTTTAATATTTTTTATCTTCATTTATTATTTAGTAATTATATTTTTTTTTATGTCTTTCTCATTCAAATTATGTGACTTTATGTAAAAGGAATAAATAATATAATTTATTTAAATATCAAAATTAATAAAATTATAAAATATTATATAATAAAACATATTATCATACGATATAATATATTATAAAATAATACGTAATGAACCGTCTAAACAAGTTATATATAATAATAAAGCAAAGAAGAGAAAGAAACCCCATTAGAGCTTTGTATCTCTTGCTCCAACTCTGTGGCCGCTGTAAGTGTTCTTCGTTTCATAAATATTTGTTTATCTGATTTATTTGTAATTTATAATATACTATACAAGTGTGGAATTAGGTGTTTATGCTTTAAAAATGGAATGATTTTTTTGTTTGTTCTATTTCACTTTTTTGTTTTTCATTTTTGGTGGGATTCTGTATTTTTGGAATTTATTCATGTTACTTCAAAAAAAATCCGTCTGGGTTCAACCCTAGTACGACAACAGCAGCCTTTAGCTCTCGATTGGTCATAAATTTTGAAGTTTGAAATTTGATAATTGGAAATTTGAGTTTCATAGTTATGATTTTGGAATTTAAAATTGTGTTTGGACATGTATTTTACTTTGAAATGTTTTTGAAGTTTCGTAAGTGGAAGTCCCAAAAACTGGTTTAAGCCTGTTCTTGGGCACTTGAAAACATTTGAAGATCAAATTTCATAAATATTTGAAGATAAATTTTCAAAATCTAATCTAAAATTTATGTTTTAATGCTAACTAGACTCTAAAATTTATGTTTTAATGCTAACTAGACTCGGATTTAATGGGCTCGCCACCTCTTCCGCTTAAATATGAAGCTTAATTCGTGCATGACGTAATGTTGGAACTTGAGACTAGTCACAAGTTCATCAGTGCTCATACAATGTAGTGGAGTAGTATTTCAAATCAAACCCTTAAACCCCATATATAGTTGAAATCCTACACAAATAGCCGATCATCCATATATTTCGATGGCAATTATATATGAAATGCTATGTAAGATTTTTCTTGTTAGGTTTCTAACCGGTGTCCGGTGCTCCCTTGGGTCCCACCTGATCGGGATCCATGCTGAGAAGTCCCACTTTGGGAATTGAGGTATAAGGCTCCCTACTAAAAGTGACTGACTCCATTCTCATTGCTCTAACACAAGACCTCTGGTTCAGGATGAATGAGACACTTACCATCCCACCATAATCTTGGTGGTAGGATTTTCATTGTATAAGGAATACTAGTGTTTGATTTTGAAACATGAGGATATATCCGTGATTGAGTAAATTAATAAATTGTACTGAAATGATCGAAACACTAATGAAAAATTAGAAATGATTCAAAATTTGATGTCTGTGTAAGTTCTTATGGTATAAGGATAAAGTACTTGATTTTGAAATACATGAAGTGTATTATCAGTGTCATATTATAGGTGTAGTTAGTATGATTTACTCAAATGTTAACAATTCGATGGGGCTATAACATATCTGCAAAACAGTATTGGCTTGGATGGAACTATGCCTGTGTACGTGTTTGACATTTGGGTTACACCTATCGCAGTCACTTGCATTCGAGGATTTTGCTTCTGATGTCAGTTTCCAAGCTATAATATAGTTACTGGTATTTCTGTTTGTTGGAGCTCATTCTTTTGGATGCTTGAAACAAAAAAGAACGATACTTTTATCAGTTTTTCCTTGAAAACTTGTTGAGAATATGCTTCGCTACATATTTCAGCAATTGCTGAATGACTTTGACTTGTAATGCTTTCAACGTGTGCAATCGCTAACGTGTAAATGCTTTTCCCCTGGTTATGCATCTGCGTTATTGAACAGTTTTTGCCTTGCATTGGTTAGGAATTAGGATAATCACGTTCCATTTGTAAATTAATGTGGCTGATTTCAGTATCTCATACTGAAACCATCTTAGTTACTGAAATTCTCACATGAATTGGCAAGTTTTACGCCGGCTGCCAGCCTACCACAACTCCCTCCCTTTTTCTGGGCTGGGGAATGATTATGTAAGCATGCTCACACAGGTGGAATTTCATACTTGTTCGAAGACTTACTAGTCATATTAATTTCATTTTGTATGATGAATTGATAATATAATATGAGCTTAAATGAAGAATGTGGCTCGTCGCACAGAGCTTGCCTAGTGTGGTTTGCCTCTTCGATGTGGTTCGTAGGCTAATACTGTACAAGTCGGGGTTACCCTGTGAGCACACAATGGGGCCAGGCTGCGGGTTCTCTTGTCATCGAGAAAAAAAAAAAGAATGTGAATTCATATAGTCGTACCCAACTTGTTTGGGACTAAGGCATTATTGTTGTTGTTGTTGTGGCGAAATTCTCACAAAGTACATATTTGCAGGACTGGCTCAAACAAAGATAGAATCTCCTCCCATAAGATACCAAATGGCATCTCAAGTTAACCACAAAGAAGAGACATTTGATTCTCATTTTCCATGGATTCATCGAGATAATTTCCCCCCAGCAACACAATTGGGATCCAAATCAAAACCTTGTGCTGCTGTTCCTATTCGTTCTGTTGCTCCGACAGGTGAACAAAATGTGGATGTCAAGTTCAAGGCCAAATCACAGAAGATGAAGAAAAACAAGAAAACATCTATGAATGGAATTCGTGAAACTGTATCGGAACTTTTGAAAGAGAAACGGTTTGAAAATAAGTCTTCTGCCTCTAAAAAACCTAAAGGAGAAGCTAAATGTGGAGAAGCCACTGTAACAAAGAATCCGAGTTCAGTTTACGGTCGAGCTAGTGCTGATTTTTCTGGCCTGCCACAGCCGTTTTGTTCCTGTACAGGTGTTTCTAGACGGTGCTACAAATGTGGTGGTGGGTGGCAATCATCATGCTGTACCACCTCCTTATCTGAGTATCCGCTCCCATTCAATCCCTCAAAGCCTGGGAATCGTAAGGCTGGGAGAAAAATGTCTAATGGAGCATATAATAAGCTTCTGTGTACACTTGCAACTGAAGGTCATGATCTTTCTAATCCAGTTGACCTGAAGGACCATTGGGCAAAACATGGTAGTAATAAGTTTATTACTCTCAAGTGAACACGAGGAAAATTGACTCAATGTGTATTATGTATATATTATTTTGCCCTCCAACTGTTGCTTCCACCGGTAAGCATTAAAGAAACCTTGAGTAGTAGGTTGTTAATATGTTGAACTTAGTACTTATAAATTCTGGTAATATCATGCTTCTCCGTATTAGTCTTTGGATGCTTCCTTCGTTCTAACAAAAGTATGGCATTCTGAGACACATTTTGCATGAAATATTGTGTTTACGAGTATCAGATTTTCTGAGTTTCTTGGTGGTTTCAATCTCAATTATTGTTCTGTTGTTTACATCCGAGTAGTTGTGCAGAAACTGTTTGGAATTGAAATTCATTTCACCATTTTATTGTCCATGTTACAACTCTCAACACATTTCCAGCTACAAATAAATACATAACAAAGTGTATTTTCTCAATTATGGGGAATTATCTACCATGAAACTGAGACATGAAAGTGGAGAAAAGAAGTCGGCAAATAAAATTTAGGGAAGAAGGGAAACAACTAGGTACAACAGATGATTCTGGGGCCTAGCTGTTAATATAGTTTGGCAAAGTTTAGGCCTTTGCAGCTGCGACTGGAGCTCCAGCTCTGCTGGCAACGATTTGCTCGTAGAGGTCTCTGATCTTCAAACCGACAATGGTCTGGAAGAAACCTGTTCCATTGTTGCTGCCAGGGAAGTCTGCATGCTTCAACATTTGTTGAGTAACTTCACCATAGAATTTGCTGGAGAGGTTGCTCAAATGGCTCTCCACGTAGATGAGTTCATCTAGTCTGTCAAATTGGCCATCCATCTCCAAGACAGATACCTGCAAGTACGAAGAAAAACAGATGGTGAAAATCAGGCATGATTTTTGGAAGAATAGCTGAGCAATGGTACAAACCCGCTCTCTGAGTTAGCCAGGTATTTTCTAGCATGTTGTCTTTAAAGAACTGTGACATATCATCGAGAGATATCGAGAAGAAGCTTTAACATTCTTTTAGTGTTTATTTACCACTTGTGTTAGCTTGCTTGCTCACATTGTTGGTCCCAAACCCGAACAAAGGATGGTAGGTAAACTGGATTGAAGTTTTTCTGCCTAGTCAATTTAAGATGAATCCTCACATACAAAGCTTAATTTTCTAGCCTGACTAGTAATCAGCAACTAATGTCCTTCCAATTGAGTTCCTCGGGTCGAGTCTAGACAGGTGGACTAGATTACCATCTGATACACCCTATTGATCTAACCTAAGTTCAGCTTATTTCTATGTTTGTATTGCTGAGACACCATAAAGGCCAACCATATGTACCTAGGGAGCTTCAGCTCATTCAAATCAGGATAGAACGAGCACCTACGACTATGGGGAATGGAATGTTGACCACAAGGCGAGAGAGTCGATTGATTAGTATGATCAAGTTTTGGCAGGTAGAGAAAGAATGCAGCCTATACCTCATTGCCAAAGTAGGTGTCAGGGCCATAGGTGAATTTGATGCCAGGGTAAGAACAAGTCAACTTCCTGCCACAAGGAATCCATGAGATTGTCGATCCTTCATCAAACAGGTAAACTGGATTGAAGTTCTTCACTCCTTCCTTCATTATCAATCTCACTCTCAAAACTTTGCCTTCATTGTCATCTGGGATTAGCTGAGTTGGGAGCACTTCAATGACTGCATCTGCATATTGCTTTTGTGGATCTGCACCAAAAAAACAATTTTTTTGCCACTTAACTAATCATATTCATCAATCATGTATGATATTAACTATTTGTGTTGTTCAGACTCTCCAAATATGTTATCGCAATCATGTTAGATCCTTCAAAAGTATGCATTTTTGGAGGATCTGACACACATCGTGCGGTTTTTTAAAATGAAAAGTGGAGCAACAGAGGTAATTGTTATTTCAAGGGTAAGTAGTTCACCAATGTAAGCATCAAAATCTGGTTTCCTAGCTTCAATACTGGCCTTAATGCTCTCAAGGCTGTGTCCTCTTTCAGCCATATCCCTCTGCATTTTTCAAAAAAGAACCGATATCATGCATATTTGGTTCGAGTCATAAGTTCTATGTATTAACAATGTAAAAGATATTTACATAATCAGGTCACTTGTACGCGTCGTTATAGATAAATTTTAGTGATAGTTACCTGGATCTTCCAAGCAAACTTGACCTCATTGCTGATATCCAAGTAGATACTGAAGTCCAAGAGGTCTCTCACACGCTCATCGTACCTTCATACCATAGAAAATGAAAAATAAATATCAGATTTTACTACATTATGATATACTAATATTATTAATACATGCATTAGAATGATTAATAAACGCAATAGTCCCTAAAAGTATACGTCAAAGAATGCACGTACGTGGACATTTCTAAAACTCACTTTTAAAAAAAAAAAAAGCTATACAATATATGTTATTTTTAACACACTAAAATACATTATAATTGATCGGTCCATTACAAATCTCAATATTCGAAACTTCTATCTCATTAGATATTCGTATTTTTTTTTTCTCCCATCTCTATTTTGGCTGTAAATACATTTTATTCATCATTATTCTTATACACGTAACTAAGTGCATCAAGAGTTGCATTATTAATATGGTGCTTAAAGTGCTGCTACTGATTTTTCTATCGAATTTTTGCAGCAGAAATAGATATTACTTTGGAGACCTAAATTCTAATTAAGTTTAAGGAAAATGTCATAAAGTACCATATTTTGGATCAAATTATTAATCGAAGACATTTTTCATTAAATTTATTTCATTTGAGGACATTCTGATTTTGTTTGAATCTTTTAAAAATGTTATTATATTTATATCAAATTCTCTAAAAGAATCATAATTGATAGAGAATCTAAGACACATACTTGTCAATATTCTTATAGATCCCAAGTAACACATGTCAAAAGAAGAGAATCCCCTGCACCATTTTCATTTTTTTCTTTTTTCCCTTTTGTAGGGAAGTAAATTATAAAGTACATTTCGTTACACAAACGACAAGAAAAAAATTAAAGAATCTAAATATACGGAGAAACCAAAGTTTTCTTTTCAATGTGTCACCTCTCTTGCATGTGTCTTGTTTTAACATTAGAAAAACATCATTGCATTTCTTCAAAAATTTATTAATAACATACTCACCGCAAGTAGCAAAGTCAAAAATTTTAATGAGGGTTTCAAAATTTCAGAAGTAAACATATGAACTATTGGGAGGGGGTTCGACTTCTATTATATATCTAGAAAATAATTTTAATCATGTATGAATAGTAATAATTTTTCGCTGAGGGGATTATACATTGCCTCCGCCTAGGGGTGTACAAAATCGAACTGAAAATCGAATCACACTGCAAATCGAGTCAAACCAAAAAAAAAATGACTAGTGATTTGGTTTGACTTGGTTTGGTATTGGAAAAAAAAACACGATTATATTTGGGTTGGTTTGGTTTCGATTAAAAAAAATAATCAGAGACCAAACCAACCCGACATTATATATATAATTTTAAAAATTTTATTTTATACCTAAAAATACTTACTTTGATATATTTTTTTAAATATCAATTATATTTTTTAATAGTTTTATCTTTTAATAAAATTATTTCATGTTTGGAAGTTAGAATTCTTAATAATGTAATAAGATTATAGTCTATACATGTTGGTAATTATAATAAAGTCTAAATAAAAATTAAATTAATACTAATGCAAAAAAAAAAAATCAATTCAACACTAAAAATGACAATAATATTGAATATTTGTTTATTAGTTTTACATAGATTTAGACAATTAAAATACATGATCTAATTTTACTTTCTTTTAATATTTAGTCATGTAACTAATACTTACTAAACTTATGTTAGCATGATTTAGTACTTTAAATTATAATCAATTTCATTATGACTTATTAATTTGCAATATTTGTTTTACGCGATTTTATTATTATTTTTTTTATATTTTAGTGTCATTAATTATATCATATTTTTTGTTATTTTCTTGAGAAATAACTTAGATAGTTGCATTTTGATAGGATTAAATAAATATTTGAAATACAAGTAAATTATATGTTTTTACGAATTCATTATCGAAAAAACTCAAAATCTCGAAAAAAAAACCCGAAGTTGAAAATTTTGAATTTTATTGATTTGATTTGGTTTATAAATTTAAAAACCCGACACAAATAATTTGATTTGATATTTGAAAAATCCAAACCAACCCGATCATGTATACTCCTACCTCCGCCTATTACTCACAGTTATATAATTTTTTTTATATAATAAGTGGAAGAATAACCCATAAAATAAGTTCAGTAATCTTTTTTTATTCATTCCATATAACACATTTCCATTTTTAGTCTACTTTTAAATAAAATAAAACTTATATTATATCAAAAAAAAAATTAGCTTTAAAACTTCATTTTATCCCCTACCAAGATATGATTTCACAACCACACAAATGTACCCCACATATTTTAGATAAGAAATTTCAAAAAAAAAATCTATATTTTTGTTTTTCTTAAAACTCATTCTAACAAAATTCAATAACTTTTCACTCAAATTCTATAATGATATTTTAAAAATCCACATATATAAAAAAAAAATAAAAAAAATCTATACATTTCAAAATTCAACATAAATTAAGAGTAAAAGTTATGAGATACTGTCGGTGCATATAAGTTAAAACGGGACTTACATGGGGTGTAATCCTTCAATGACAAGAATCTTTGGAGGCTTAATAACCTCAGGAGGATCAAGAAGACCACTAACATGATTATAAATAGGTTTATCAACAGGAACCCCATCTTTAATAGCTTTAACTTGTTCATACATTAGATCAAAATCATTAGCTCTTGGATCAAGAGCAGTTACCCCTTTTTCTTTTCTACCAGTTCTGTCAAGTGAATGATAATCATCAAGACAAATGACAGTAGTCATGTCTGATATCAATGTGTTTGAATCTGGATTTCCACCTTTCGGTGGTTCAGCAGCGCCACCAAAGACGCTGGTTAATCGTCTCATAAATGTACTTTTACCACAACCAGAATCAGCTGCTAGACCGATTACAACTGTTTTTTCACCGTCAGAGGAAGCAGAGCATGTCATCTTCCTTGGTCTTTTTGTTAGGAAAATTACTTGTTTCTGGTGAAATCTTAAGTGGGGTTTTGATGGAGTTGAAATTGAACAAGATGAATTCAGTGATTGAGCAGTGTACACTGTACAAACTGCCATTTTTTTTATTTTTGCCCCTCTATCTCTCTGTTTCTTGAGAGGTTTTTGAGATAGAATTATGGAGGAAGCTTTTTTATTTTTTATTTTTGTGTGCTCACTGACTTACTGATAGATTAATGAATGGGCATTTTTTTTAAAAAAAAATTAAATTTTTTTTTTGGTTTTTAGGATATTTTGGAGAAAAAAAATATGTGAGGCTTAGAATTTTTTTGTAAGAAGTTAATGGCTATGGTTATGGCTGTTTTGTTTGGATAGTGAAGTGTGTTGATTTGGATTTCTGTGACTACCATTGGAGGTAGTATTAATCCGCTTTTTTATAATTGATCGGATCTTTTAAAAATAATATATTAATTTTGAAAAATCTAATACACATCTATAAGTATATTCAAAGAGTCAGAGCAATGGAGTTTTACGCAAATATAGCAAGTAGGATTCGTTAGTTTACTTTCAGTGAATCACATCGTGATGCAGTGACGAAGCAAAAATTTTAATAATGGGATTGTAAAATTTGAAAAGGTAAACATACAAATTAATCGAAGGAGGTTCACATTTACTATATACACATAAAAGTTAATTTTAACCATGCATAAATTGTAGTATATTTATACATGTTGTTGTATTTGTGTTGAATCTCTTTAAAGTAGTATATTAATTTTTGAGAATTTAACACATACCTGTCAACATTTTTGAAAAATCGAGTTAGGAAATTTTTAGTTGGTATACGCTGATATACATGAATTATACGTTAGACAGCAGGTTTTATGATTCATTATTTTACTTCTTTTTTTTCTAGCTGGTATACACTGATATACATGAATTATACGTCTAACGACTGCTTTTAGTTTAAGTGTTTGTGCGCGGTGGACGACTATTTAGGTTTAACTATTTTAGATAATTATTTTAAGGCTAAGAATAAAGAGGACATGGTTTGTGATTTTAAATTTTTGTTTAGGGGTATAATGGTCATTTTACTTTGTACTACCCCCCACCACCCCACACTCCACATACACTATTGAATAAGAAAATTTATTATTTTTCTTGAATTTATTTATTTATTATTCTGTTAGTAAGGATTGAAGATGATGTTTGTGATAGATAAAGGGATGGAGAAAAGGTTTGGTGGTGATTTATTTCAGTTTGGATATTTCATAGGACACGTGGCAGAAGGATGATGGCATAAAAGAAGATAGAGAATGTGTAATCCATAATTCAAACAATTTTGGATACTACTTTTTGCTTTGGAATGTTGTTCGGGTCGATGAATAAGTTATTTCGAGATTTTTAAATTTTAGGTATTTTGGTTGAAGATTACAAAGTTTGATATAAGGCTTAACTTAGCTCCTAATAAGTATTCATAGCTTTACTTAATTGGAAATTACTTGGCAATACTATAAATCTAGTTAATCGCGACGTCAAATAAGAAAAAATTTAGCCTAAAATTAATTTAATATAATGTGCTATATTTTTCCAAATCAAATTATGTGCACTCCAATTTGCAACTATTATTACTCTCAATTTAGTATGAGTTCATTCTCAGTTCAAATTTAATTAATTAAAACACTATTATTTGTATATTAGAAAACATTAAATACAACAAATAAAACTTTAAGTATGATATAAAGTAATTCAAACTAACTAAACTTTTGTTAATTGATTTAAGTATGCTGCAGCATTAATTAAAGAACCATCCTTTAATTTTGACGTTCTTTTTTAGTGTGATAAAAAATACAAGAAATTTTACTACTAAAAAAGAAAGAGAAAATAGTTCATGAAATAAGAAAATAAAAGGGGGAAAAGGAATTTTCTATTTCCAAGAATTAATTACGTATTTATTTTTAAATTCATTATATTCATCATTCCAAATTTAGATGATCTTAGTTACGTCCTAGTTTAGCAAGTTTCGTATTTGGTTAAGATTAAGGATTCCAAACATATCTGGTGTACAAAGCATCCCGTGTTAACAGAGATTCAGAAAAGAATCGTACTTTAAAGAATGTGATGTAGACAGTCTATCCTAATAAATGAACAAAAATATTTGAACTTCCGTTCCCTTTAATTTATTTGCTTAGATCATTTTGCTACTATGATTCGTGAATTATTTATATCTATTTTAAGAAGTGTTGGATTTGTTTCTTTTGTGGGATAAGTTTCTAACCTTAAATTAGTTATTTACTCTACTAATTTCTCAAGTATTTTCTTGCTTTAATCCATAGAATTAAATGGAAAATTGGAGTATTAGTTAGGGGTAGGATTCTTAGAGTGAGAATTTATGGTCGAATAACAACAATTTGTTTTAGCTGAAATCAACGTGTAGAATTGTTAAGCTATGGGTTAATAATATAATTTAAAAGAAAATTCTAGATTCAGCTCTTGTGCGAACCAAATCTAGTCCGATACAGCTACTCCAATATACATTTATTCAGCAAACTATATGCCTGAAGCTTCTGGTTGCAGTAGTATTCAGGAGAGCCCAATCAATAGTTTTCATATATTACACAATGTAATACTTGCTTGGAGTGTAGCAAAAAAATAATAAGAGTGTAGTTAGTCTCTTTCTTTATATATGTTAACTAGGTTTTATTTTTTTGTAGTTATTCTCTTGTTATGTTTCTGCAAGTCTCAATTGGACATGACTATTAGTGGACACCATCACTCAAAAACGAATCCCAGTGAAGGCACTATAGTAATGTAGTAGTCTAATGATCAAAGGTCAAACTGTGATTACATACAAAAATGACAATGAAACGAATATGTTTTGAAACCTAGAAAACATGCAACTATATCACGCAAGTCATTACTCTGGAAAAGAATTGTTTTGTTGCTACGTCCAAACAGGTGCATCACTTGTGCCCTCGGAAATACATGTACACTTTCTGCAATGATATAAACGTTACAAGATGAAAGTAAATTTTTAGTAGTATACAACAGTTTGTTATCAGGCATAGAAAAAGTATAATTACCTAACACAACTAAATTCAACCTTAGGTTCTGAATAGCCCTACCTAAATGATACTCTCTCCCCCCCACAAAGCGACTCTTCGGTTAGTACATTTACTGTTCAAAAGATGTACATGCTCCAAAACAAAAACTACTTGGATGTCCATATCTGGGTGAAAACCTAGCAAATTGTCTACCTTCTTTCTGTGATAAAAGGAAAACCTGGCAAATCATCAAAAAGGACTAGAGATGCATTTTTCTTGATATTTAAGAGAAACCAGACGATACCCCTCTCCTCCACCCTCCTCGAAAAAGACTACCCCCCTCACACAGCAAGCAAGAGCTTAAATATGAATTGATGTACGATTTCTTTTTTCCCCTTGATAGATTTCAGTTTCAGGCCACATACACATGAAGCTCAAGCCGCAAGGCAAAGATGAGCAAAACTCTAAAAAGAGGAACAGCAGATACCAGAACACTAGGTGGAGCATTGCCCCAGCTGATCTTCATACAATTGATTTATTAATGAACCTGACATGAAGAATCGCAATACAGTAAAAACCTCACCTGCAGCACCCACAAGCTAAGCAAAACTTCCAAGCAGAAGAAACCAAATCCAATCAAATAAAATATCTGCAAAAAAAGAAGAAAAGGACAACACAAGAATATATATTAAGAAGGTAAAAGATCAAACATCCTGATAAGCTAATATAAGCATTAACTCTCAATTTTATTGGGAATTCCAATTATCTAAGAGAGCTTTTGATGCAGTAACTCAGTTTAAAAACTAGCTGCAATATGCAATCAGAATATCAAATGAAATTGAGTTATTGTTCAAGAAAATGACTCTACAAAAAATGTTTTTGATCTGCTAAATCAGTTAACAAACTAACTGCAATATGAAATGAGAAAAATAAAATGAAATTTAAGTTTTTGTTCAAATAAACAGTAAAGACAGTGCTGAGTGCACAAGTTAAATCAAATTCAATCTGCTAATAATGAGAAACTGAGAGTTTTTCACTTGGAAGGGAAGTATCTACAATCAAGCATTATGGTCATTTGGTAGGGTGTATTAGGTAGAATAATGCTGGTATAAAATTTTAATACAATGTTTGGTTGCAAATCTCATCTATGTCCAACTAGTACCAGTATTACTTGTACACCCTATTAGTACTGTAATTAAACATAGTAAACAATGGCATTCAATTTATTGTTTTCAAAGGGATGTGTCGAAGAATTTGTTATTTTTTTTCCTCGCATTAAAATAAGAGCAAATAATTAAACAACTTACCCCAACCAGCACATGGTCAGAGAAGACATCAATTGCTGCAAGGATACCCCTGGAATGAAGTAAAAAGGAAGCACAATAATTAGTGAAGAATATAAAAAAACAATGACAATCCAAGGGAAAGTGGAAAACCCTTGATAAAAATCACCGCATTTAACCGCATCAATATTTCATTGCTCTTATTCATGCTCATGAAGAGCATTTCTCACCATTCAAGACTCATATCATACATAGATTTAATTTAAAAACATTATAGAGTACAACCAGACCTTTAACTGGTTGATTTCTTTTTGAACTGTTTCCATATCAATATGGTACAAATATCCTTATCAAAAAAATCAATATGGTACAACCACAGGAAAATCGATGCACCAACAAGGGAAGCAGTAATTTGTTGATCACAAAACTAAACCATGTTCTTTTAGTGGTGTGCAACACCAAGGGGTTTTTGGGATCTTCAACTCTTCTATCATCACACTATGAACCAAATCATTTGCAGAAACAAGGGGAAGAAGGCAACAAGGGCATTTAAAGCATTTTTTCACCTAAAAGGTGTATCCATATAGACTAGCAAATTCTACTAAGCTAAAACAGCCTGCCAGAAGTAGCAGCTTATACAGAATACTGAACTCTATACTGCGCGGTTAATGGACTAAAAGTTGCAGCAGAACTTACGTTAAGGATAATCCTTGAAATACAATGGGAGGAGCAATAGCAGCAAGTATGCAAAATCCAATGTGGAACTGCACATACAAAAAACAAGAAAACAAAATACTCAAAAACAACTCCTGGCATAAAATAGACAGCATCTTTATCACTTCTGTCAGCAAAACGAACCAAGTAGAACATGAAAAACCATCCAAACTTCAATGCACTGTCGGTCCTGCAAATCCAAACAATCTGTTATGTGGAAATCAAAAACGAAAAGGAACAACTGGAGGGATTTTAAAAAGGTGAAAGGGGATAAAATTAAGAGAAACAACACTACATACCTCATTGCGTTATACAGAGGCCTGTACCACAAAATGTACGAAAGGGGACATCCCATTAAAGCATATATTACAGCCAGGAAAAAGATTTTAACACCTAGAGAAGGCAAGAACTAGATGATGTTAGATATATATTGAACTTGAATTTACTTTTAGATCTTTACGCCAATAAAAAGGAATGCCACATGAGCTTCCGCAGAAAAGAGAGAATAAAGCTCACCGCCACCCTTAATCCAACAGATAGTCACGGCAAGAACATTGAACGCCAGACAAAAAACAATGCCTGTAGAAAGATTTTGGAGCAAACTCAAAGAGGTTATGAAATAGAAAGATTCATATAACACTCAAATAAAGAGCAAGATAATACAAGATTCATAGAGCCCTTGAAAGAAAGAGTAACATTTGTGAGAGAGAGGGCGCTGTTGAACAAGCATTATAGCCCATAAAGAAGATAGTCATCTATCCCAGTTTATTCTTTTACACAACAGCTATAAACCCTGTCGTTTTAACAAAAGAAAAATCTACTACTAGTTCCCCTCCATCCTATAAAAATTACTCGCATCTCAACCTAAAATGTTACTCACATGGATGAAGTTGCCAAACGGCTTGCTCTTGGGTTCCATATCAATTGGGTCTTGTTACTTTTAATAAAGAAACAGCATTGCTGGATTTCAATCAAAACATCGGATAATTGTAACTTCAGAGCTGAACTACTATAGAAGTTTGAAAACACAAACTCAAAACTTGCAGCTACTAATTTTATGCTGCTTGGATCCCAAAAAGATGTATAAGCAGAAAGGCTAAAGTCTTTTGACCCTAATCACGAAAGGCAGCAGTGTTAAACATAGAAATAATGTTTCTCCCATACACTATTTTTTAAATCAGTAAGCAAAATTTCATCAATGTAAAGCCTGACATGTACAACAATAGATCATCCAAGTCACAAAAATAAAAGATGGGATAACCTTTATACAAGAGTTACTCCTTGAATGAGCGAATGAATACCATTATTCTAGTTCTCTTATTCATTATGTTCTCCGCGATTTCTGAAAATGAGGTTTGCAAAACAGAGGGGAACTACAATGTACCTTATCGGAAAAATCAAAAGAAATAAATAAAGGAATAAATTCGGGGAAGGGGGAACATAGAAGTGAAATGTAGCTTTCCAAGAAAACCAAAATCTATCTCCTTAACTTCTGCGTCCTTCACAACAATGGTTGCCTTTATTAAATAATACTCTACTATCTGTATTTCTATAAGCTAAAGAAGATCACTTCATAGGTCACCCCATGATTAATTAGATATAATCATCTATGAATATATTGGCAATTTATCAAGGAGAAACACAAAAATGTAGTTTGACAAAGGATCTATGAATATATTGGCAACTTGTCAAGGAGAAACACAAAAATGTAGTTTGACAAAGGATCTATGAATATATTGGCAATTTGTCAAGGAGAAACACAAAAATGTAGTTTGACGAAAGATGAAAGCAACTGGTTATTAACTTATGTCTTAAAATACCATCTCAATATAGTAAGAGACATTCGATAGCATCAAACTAATAACTATGTGCAATGAAGCTCTCTCTGTATGCGTTTACTTTCACAGATATAACATTTAGCTATCAGTTCAACAGAGAAATTTAGGGTTGCACTTCCCATCTACTAGGGACATAGGGGTCTTAATTTCTGTCAAACACCTCAATGAATCAAGATTTATTCAATTATATTGGTTCTTGTTTCGACAGACAGTAGGCAGAAACAGAGGGAGAGGAATTTCTTCTCTTGCCAGAAACTTGAGCTGAAAAGCAGGTTTCCCCCTCTGTTCGATTTGTGACCCTATTTTAGTCTGTTACAAGAGCCAATTCGTTTCTACATATGGAGACAGTATAATTAGAACTTTCCATTTTATCCTAATGACAAGCTTTTACAGCCACACAAATGTTATGTATGGCATGTTTAAAACCTGGCACGTCTTCCTTTCTTTTTTAATCTCCCCAATTAAAGAGGGTTACATAAAATGAAACAGAGTGAGTAGCATATCTCATGCATTACAAGCAAAATCCAGACAAAAAAGCAGAGAAACTGATGCACTGCACACGTTGAGCCCAGAAAAGTAAAGAAACTATGAAGAGTTTCATGCAAAACTCCAACATTTTGCACTCGTAAAGTACACTCAAATCATAATCAAATGGTAAACTTGTAGGTACTTGATGAAAGCGGAAACTAGAGAAAATTTAGTAGACAATCGTTTTTGATATTCAAAGAAACATTCTTCTTTTAAAGAAACAGAAGCGAGATGCTACCTAACCAGCTTGCAAAAGCCAAATACTGCAGCCGCTGAGAATGAGCTGGTATTTCATTTGCTATATCATGATGAATAATTGGAAAGAAGGGCGGCCAATTCCTATCATCAGTTGGCACACCAGCTGAATTGAATCATAGAAACGCATTATCTCAGCATGCTAAAGAGAAAATAAGACGATTTAATAACAATCTGAAACTAGCTTAAGTCATTTCTTACCACCAGCAACAGCATCTTCTCTTCGTTTAATATCCTGTTAAACGGCACTTAATGAGAATCATGCATAACCCTCAAACTGAGTTGAAGCAAATATAAACTAGAATAAACTACAGATCAAGGAACTCATAACAACAGATTTAGCTAAAAAGTAACATTTTGAAAGCATTCACAAGCCTTGAACTGAATTGGGAAAAAATATAGACTAAAAATACACTACAGGAGGTTGTAGTAAATAGTTTAGCCAAAAAACTAGGAACATAACTTTTCAAAAATTTGCACCCTTGCAGCAATAGATGATCAGAAATCAAAAAAAAATAATATAATTCGCAGTAATGCACATAGCAAACAACAAATTTTAAATAAAAAGAAAAAGAACCAACTCTTTCTCTCCTTTGCAGATCTGCTTCCCAGGTTGCTAATTCTTTTTGCTTCTTGTTGGAGCCCTAAAACACAATTGAGAAGAACATATTCAGAATACAATGTTCTTTACAAGACTGCAAACAAAAGCATATCAACTTCATTACATTCATTGAATCCAATGGGACGTCATCAGTTGCATCATGTTTTTGGCCAAAACCAAGAGTACTAGCAATCATTTGAGGGAAGCGTGACTTCGAAGCAGGAGCGGAGCCACCTTTCTGCAAGAAAATACAGATGATACAAGTGAGGAGGATCTTGCACATTCAGAGCATTCAAAGTAAATAAAGTATAAAAAGTTATAATTGTAATTTTAATGTAAAAATAAATTCTGCATTACGAGAAACTGATTGTGAGATCTTGCACATTCAGAGCATTCAAAGTAAATAAAGCATAAGAAGTTATAATTGTAATTTTAATGTAAAAATAAATTCTGCTTTACGAGAAAGTGATTGCGAGTTGAACACACATACACTGTAATAATTCGAGAACTGAAGCATGCCCTTTTTGGCACTAACAATACTCACAACCTTAAAAGATGAAGGAAATTCATATAATCTCTATGGAAGAACAAATAGTGGGTTTCGATGGTTCTAGGTATTTTCAGGCCCTATGAGATATATGGATGATTGTGGATCCAAACAAGGAGGTAAGAAAGCGTCTGCTGAAGGATATGGAAGCCATGTCCCAACAGGGCAGGGCAGCAAGTGACATTTGATAAAGAGAACCATTTTATGCCACTCACCAGTACGTGCTATAAAATATGTTCTAGTTAATGTAAGTAACCTCTATTAAACACTATCGGGTATTAAAGCTTGTCTAATGTCCACTTACTGACTTGGTATTTTTCCATACGGAGTGTTTCAAGACATGCAACTGTTAAAAAGTTGTAGCTTTCTCACTTAACTTGAAACATCTCACAGATACCTTCTTGTCAATACATACATACACATATCATACGTCACTTATCAGCAGCATAATAGCCAACTATTACACAAAACTGGTTTCTTCATTTCAAGAGGAGGCAAACAAAAACAGACTGATTTCCATTGCTTGTTTTTCTTCTTATAAATTTTAAATGTTTAGACTCCATCTATTTTTTCAATAACTAGGAAAAGCAGGGTTAATTTTATTGTCATTATTTTCGTAAACCTCCATTTACCCTTAAACAGTTAAACGCATGAAAAAATAGCATATGTATACCTAAAAATAAAACAAACCGACCTTAAAAAAAAACATCTTTCATTTAAGAGTCCTCATCATAAATCAGTAAGGACCAGTAACTTCACACCAAAGGCCAAATGTCCATATCCAAGCAAATTACAACCATTTTAAATTAAACGGGATGAAGATCAATCCCCAGGCTCGACTCTCAAGCCAACCTTTCAAGTTAAGCTTCTATTAAGTTCATACAGGCTAATTTATCTTAAAATTCATATAAAATCAGCTAGATTTATGCATTAATCTCATTAAAATACTGTATAACTTCACCACGCCGACAAGCCAATCTTAAACACCACAATGTACCCGAAAAATTAGGCAAAATCTAAACTCCTTAATATACTTCCACCATCCAAGTACGCAGATCTAGATCAAATCAAACAATTCATTCCAAATACCACCACAAAACATCCGATAAAAAATCAGAAAAAAAAAACATTGAAAAATGATAATGTTATACGAATAAAGTTAACAACAGCCTAGATCTAAGGAAAGCATCAAATTAATATATTAAAAAAAACGTAAAAAAAGAGCATCGAGAGAAAGGCGGTTACTGAAAAAGGATTGACTTCAGGCTCCTCTTCATCAAACGGATTCGGATCGTTTCCTCTCATTTTCTCTTCCTCTTCTTCTTCTTCAACTATTCCAAATTTGAATCTGCAGAGAATTTTTCAGATATGAAAAGTGAAAAATTTCAGCAAAAATTTATGCAATTTGAAGAAATACATACAAAAAGCAAAGGTGACTGAAGTTCTACTCCTGTGTGCTTGCTGGTGACGCGGGATACCGAATCGAGAGTTTGAATTTACATATTTGCCCATCAGGAGGTTGTGTAATCACCAGCGAATGCCACTTGTAAAGCGGTTGAGTTTTGTTCTAGTGTATCCTCGGTGTATATTAATGAGTTTGTACTTGTCGTCTCAGGATGACACGTGGATATGTTGTTGCGTGGCGAGTATTAATTGGATGAGATGGAGGCTTTTTGGTTATCATTGTGTATACTGTATTTTATGGTGTCAAATTACGAGTTTATCCCTTTCCCGAATGGTTGGTCCTTTTGTCTCGAATGGATATAATTGGGATGAGAATTTTAAGGTGCAATTTTTGGTAGAAAAATAGAGTAACTCACAAAATAAAATCATTAAATAATTAATAAAGATAAATAAAAAGTTAATAATGCGATTACATTTAATTAGTTGTTATGTAATACGAGGTTTTTTAATTATTACATAACGAAATTTAATAATGCATATGATACAATAAAATTTAAATATCAATTAAAATAATGTTATATTTAAATTAATAATATATTACAATTGGTAATAACTTAACGAGATATATATGAAGGTCCTAATTGTTCATTTTATCTATTTTTTTTCTTTTTATTGTTTGCTTTTTTTAAGGACGCAAAGCAATAGAGCCTAAGGTTTTCCAGTTAAGAAAAAAAATACGTAGTATATATAATAAAGATTAGTGACCTAACGTAGATTACTGATATACTAGTCATTCTCAAGAGAAAAAGCTATATGTATCTTGGATAATAATTTAAGGAGATAATGTGACTAATAATGACGTCATATACTATTTTAAAATTAATGGGTGAAATGAAAGCTCGTATTTGAGGATACAATAAGAAGTGATTGTTAGACAAACTTTTTTCTTTTGTATTTTAGTCTTACAATTGTCGTTGTTGCAGGGACAACGTTTTTAGTCGTTTGACAACTTCAGTAGTTGTCCAATAACTTCAGTGATAAAGATATTATTAGTTTAGTCCTTTTATGAATACTGAAAATAAAAAAAATAAAGAAAAAGTAAAAGGGTCATCTTGTCCCTTTTCTTTTTTTAAAAAAAAATTGAAAACTTATAAGAAACTTTTAGGTTATTTTTTCAAGTCGGGATGTGGGAAAAGAAAATTACTAATGTAAAAGATTCAATTGAAAAAAATATATAGGTAATTTATAAAAGAGATAAATCACTATAAATAAATATCTTGACAAATTCAATAATAAAATTTATAAAAATTCAAAATAATTAAATCACTGATCCAAAATATAAAAAAATATCACTGATCATCATTTTTGTATATAAAATGAGTTGTACAATTAATATTAAAGTAATCATAACAATATATAATGAAGAACAAAATTCATCTGTTAGATTGAAAACTTGATGAACATGCATGATTAATTAAGTCTCAAACTCAATAAATTGTGCTTCATCTAATTTTAGGATTACCACTTATTCTCTATACAATTTTATTACTGACGGATATGATAACCTAGAATTAAAGTAAACTGATAAAGAATTAGTTAATGGTTTTAATTTATGTCAATGTGTTTTGCTTAAATATACTCTTTTATGATTTTTAATGGTTTTAATTTATGTTAATGTGTTTTGCTTAAATATACTCTTTTATGATTTTTTGTGTGCGAAATTATCAATATTCAAGATCTTGAAATGTATTTATAGGGGTGGGCATAAACACTGAAAAATTGAAACACCGAATAGAATCGATTTTTTTTTTATATTTCAGTGTTAACATTCATTGGTGATGACCTAGTAATCGATTTGTCTTGATAACAAGCAACACATGAAAATTCATCACATGTAAGGATCTTCTGGTTCTTTAATGGATGTTCATTTGAATTTTCAATGATTCGTCTCATCATTATTAATCCAGGATGACCCATTCGGTCATGCCAAAGCACAAAAGTTTTCAAGTCAGTAAAATTCTGATTTACGATAGAATGTGCTTCAACTGTACTTATTTTTGCATAATACAAGCAGAAGATAAAGTTGATAATTTATCCAACACATATTTCTGGTTTGAGACAATCTTGGTAATGCCAAGGTATTCAACATTCATTTATTTATTGGCTCAATATGATATCCATTTCGGCAAATATCTTTAAATTAACAACTTTCTTGGGGATTTAGAAGAGAACAATGCATCCATCTTATATAACAAGTTTCGTCCCCTTAGGCATGAATATAATAGCTCTTTCGGAGCCTTCTATTAAGTTTGAATTACCAGAAATTGTAGTAACATTCCCTTTTCTTCTAAGCAAGTAAGAGAAGTATTTTTCATATTTGAATATGGCATACGTTGTTCCACTATCAATTACACAAATATTTTTATGATTGATCATTGATCTAAACAAAGTTGGGGGCATATCCATATTTTCTTCAAAAACAGACATAAACAAAGTAAAATATAACTATTAAACATGACTATTATATTTACAGTGATTAGAAAAACACAAACATACCAACTAATACAAACAAACAGAAAAGAAAAATTATCTAGATTATTGCGAAATCGTCACTGATCGTTTTTCCTTCAGGGAATACAAAGAAATCAATTACATCCAGATGCATAGCTCAACATTTTGCTTCTGTATTATTATTCATCTTATGCATTGGCTTAACATTAACTTCAGAGATAAAGTTTGCTTCTGGATTACTATCTCCCATTTTCAAGGATGCCTGATAAAGCTGAACCAGACGTTTAGATGATCGGCAAGTTGCGACCAATGCCCCATTCCTCCACATCTATGACATACACTTTTTGAAATTTTCTTTTGTATTACTTCTTGGCTCCATTCCTTTTATACTGTTGGTCATTGTAGCTCAAGACGACCATCGTGATTATAATTTATTTTACGACTACGACCACGATCATGACCGGAGCCACTACCATGATAGGAGCCACAACCTCTTCTTCGTTGGTGATAATTTGTCTAATTCACTTTAGGGAGTGACATATAACCAACAAGTCGATTTTCATGATTTTTATCAAAAAAGTCGTTATTTCGTTCAGCATTAAGAAGATGTGAAAGTATTTCAACATATTTTTTAAAATTCATTCCTCGATATTGCTGCTGCAGGAGCGTACTCGAGGTAGGAATTGTGGAGTATGTTTTCTCAAGCTTATCATGTTCAGTGACCTCTTCTTCGTATAAATTTAACTATGATATAATTATATATATGAAAAAATTATGTTCAATTATACTTTTAAAGTTAGATAATCTCAGATTAAACTACTCATGACACACATGTGGTAGAATGACCAACTTCAGATGGTCATATCTATCTTTTAAATTTTTCCACAGTACAAAAGACTCTTTTATAGTGAGATATTGCATCTTTAACCCCTCGTCAAGATGGTGACGGAGAAATATCATTGCTTTGGCACGTTCTAGACTGGATGCCTGATTATTTTATTTGATGGCTCCTACCATTCCCACTGCATCCAAGTGGATTTCAGCATTTAGTGTCTAGGATGAGTATTCTTTACCCGATATATCCAAGGCAACAAATTCAAGTTTATAAATATTAGACATCTTTTTTTTTTAGAAAAATAAAATTCTTACCATTTTTACTTATTTAAAGTAGCACAACTTGACAGAATTTTATGCTGATAACGTTTTATAAAATAAATAGCTAACAAACTAATATTAATAAACTAAATTAAGAACAAAAACATACAAAGAGGCAGTATAATAACGTATGCCAAACTTCTTCTCTTATTTACATTTAAATAAAAATATACTACCTATTTATACTAATGAAAATATGAAACTTGGCCACAATTTGCCAAATGTTAATGGTGTACATACATATTTGCCTTACAAGTGACTTACATGTGGCAACGGTAAAATTACCTTACAACATTAAAAGTGACTTACATGTGAAAACGACTATTGTTTTACGACAATTCGAAGGATATAACATGTAATTTGCATAATAAAAATATAAATTAATATATATTTAAAAATAATTACTGATGTTAGCAATACTTTTTGTTTATTATGATTTATAACAATGCTTTGTTAAATATGTAATATGTATTAAAAAAGTAAATTATGTATGCAATATATATAAATTATAGTTGTTTTATGAAATATATCATGTTTGTTTGGTAAAATTTTGTCATATTGTATTATAAGTGTATTAAAATGTGTGATAAAAGTATTATTCATCATTAAAATTTTTATTATATGTGAATAATAAATTATTCTTGTAATATGTATTAAACTTGTATTATAAATAAATTAAAAGTGATCAAGTGAAAAAAAATATTATTACTATAAATGATAACTATTTTTTTATTATAATATATTTATGTAATTTAAAAAAAAAACAGTGAAGTAGGATCATAACTGTTAACTTATATACACCAAAGGATCATAATGAACCAAACCCAATACATAAAGGACCATTTTGATTATTTTCTCATTGTAATTTCACTAAAAACAGAGGTTTGTTTGGGAAATTCGGTAATAGCGAACTTCTATAAATACAACATCCATTTGTTTCCTTAAACCTTAGGGTTTTGCGATTTCGCCATAAATTTGAGCAGCCATGGTAGCAAAACAGTTAGATGACGAACCACAAACCCTCAACTATGAATCCAAATCTCACAAGAAACAGAAGAGAAAGCTTGAAGACGCTGAGGTTGAAGAAGTTGTTGTAGAATCCAAAAAAGAGAAAAAGAAGAAGAAGAAGCAGAAGCCGAAGCAAGAAGAAGATGGGTCCAATGGGAACACTGAAACTCTTGATGGGTCGAATGGAAATACTGAAATATTTGATGGGTCAGCTGAGTTATCGGAAAAGAAGAAGTCGAAGAAGGAGAAGAAGAGTAAGGTAAAGGAAGGGAATTTGGATGATGGGTCGGATGTTACTGTTGTTAATGGGAAGGTTAAAGAAAGTAGTACAAATGTGGTGGTTACGGGTAAGGGTGCTAATGAGTTAAAGTACAAAGCTTTAGAGAAGTTTGTGGATGCAGGGCTTCCAAGTGAGGTGTTGGAATGTTGTAAGAATTTTGAGAAACCAT